TATCTATCTATATCGTTTTCTTATTCAAATCATTTATATTATATCAAATCATTTTTTATTAACGGCATTCTCGAAAAAACAAATGTAAGACATTCTTTACAGTTTTTATAATCTAGTCAATTCATTCGTCATATTGCTTTACAAACTGAATTTCTCCATTTTTCTGACGTGAAGCATAATTATTTCATTTGGTATTTCGTAACTGTTTTGAAGAATTGAGAGAACTGAAGCAAAAGTATTTCTCTTACTAAAAACCTCTGCATAATTCTTTTTCAAAAATGGAAAAAATATTTTGAAATACCTTCTGTCAGGGTTTGCTTTGTGAGCGAAGTGATTTCCCAAAGAGGTTCCGTCAGTAATGAGTCGATGATATTCCCGTCTTCTTTCTTTAATCCGTCCCACAAAGTGTGTTCACTAAGTTGTGCATGCAACTGGGACATGTTGGAATTGATGCAAATACTGTAATTCATCTGAGCTGTTTCAGTAAATCTGTTGAAGTATGCAAAGTTGTCGTACTGGGCTCTGATACAAAACTCTTTCATTGGATGATCTCGTATTGATACGTATAAGGGTGTTTTTTCATCTATGATGATTGCCGCTCCTGGAATCAAAAACAAAATACAATTATGACTCCAATCAAATCATCCACTTCCACATATGTTTGACAAATTGAAAAAGCTTTCCAGATACCCAGGTATTTTTAGAAAAACAGTGAACAACAATAAATAATGATCACGATTTAAGTATACAATAGTTTTGAATAAAATAGTATGACAAATTAATGAATTAACTGTCTTAAACGAATTTATTTCTGAAAATATTCCACTAATCACAAACTAATTTATTCACAACACTTAGCAACTAACGCTTAATTTATTTCCACTATTTGAATTTCTTGTTTATCCGCTCGATTCACTTTCTGAACTGCCATCTTGGGTCGGGAAGCCGGGCTTATATAATGTAACGGTCCTTTCTATAAATTTGTAGTCGGTTCGGTACTCGACTAGAGTTTTACTGGCGGTTGCATTCTTTCGCGGTGATGTCATGTGTTTGTTTGCTGAGTCGGCCGGCATATCGGTCAGGGACGGCTTCAGATTTGTTACATTGCCCCCTTCTTAAAGACGTTTCGCCCCGAAATGTCATCCCTGGCGTGTGTCGATACCTGCAGGACTCTCCATATCTGCACTGTGAACTTCGATGGAAATAACACTCCACAGTCTTTATGCTCGGTCGTGGAAGATGGTTACCGCACACCAAAATCTTAATGCCGCTGGATCTAAATATCCTTTCCAACATGCTTCTCACAATTCTCCAATACATCCTGTCGAGCCCAGAGGCTAATTTCGGGATTGCCAAGTCCACAAGATTCTGGTCGAACATAGTGTCCCTCAGTTTGGTAAGACTCCTCCAGATATTTTCATAGGACGGTTTGTCTCGATAATGCTTTTTGGTTACCAAATAGAAAATGTTTCTCTGACTCTTCTTCAACTATAGCACTACTTCGATTTCAGGATTCTGTTATCGTAATGTTTCGAGCTGACCGAATTTCTTGTGAATACCACAGCGATACCCCTGGACATTTGGAGATCCTCTGCCACACAGTGAGCTAGTGCGTAATCAACTGGAACCTTGAAAAGGTCTCGTGGCTCTTCTTGAGTTACCCCATGTACGACCTTCTGTCCATTTGAGTATAAAGACATGAACTTCTGGAACGTCATTTCATCCTCTGGTGGCCTGAGGGCGAGAACTTGGTCGTGATTTTCAGCATAAGGAACCAATCTATCAAAATGGACGACCCTAGGCTTTCCTCGAGGTGGCTTATGGATTCGGTAGACGAGATCATATAAGCCGGGCTTATATAATGTAACGGTCCTTTCTAGAAATATGTAGTCGGTTCGGTACTCGACTAGAGTTTTACCTGCTGTTGCATTCTTTCGCGGTGATGTCATGTGTTTGTTTGCTGAGTCGGCCAGCATATCGATCAGGGGCGGCTTCAGATTCGTTACAATAGTTTTCCCTGACAGGTCTCTTTCAGAATTAACGTTAATTTTTGGTTCAATTGTATCCTAATAAATATATCCAAGCGTTCCCAATGTGGTTATATAGTATTCTACTCGCGAGTAGAATACTATATAACTAAATTTGAAGACAAAAAACAACCCAAAATAATTTTCAAGAATACTTTTTATTTTTATTGCATAGAATTTCAAATAATTTGGAAATTAGGCTCCTGAAAAACAATAAGGAAAGTACCGTCCGTCGGTGAGACTTCAATCCAGAACTCTGTGTTCTAACCGTGTTCTGACAATTACTCCACAGAAACTCGTAAATAATGATTTCACATTAAAACATTCTAAAAGCCAAGTATTCTCGTTTTGTTATTATACAAAAATTTTAATTTTCTCGCAACATTTTCTCGCAACAAATTTCAGGAGGAGCGCACTAGTTTTTACTTTAAGACTCCATGCTTTTATTCATGTTTTTCATTACAAACTATATATTTTTACACGAACTGTTAATTCATTGATTTCTTTTAGGAAGATATTTTCGAAACGGAAAAAATCTCGAATACAATTGTTAAGTTATGAATTTGCTCATCAGGAAACGTCCTCGAAGGTAGTGAGTTATGATTCTGGTCAACTGTTATTGTTTCAAAGGTGTGGGTTATGGGATTAGAGCATAATTGTGCAACAGGACATGGTTACATAATCAACACTTTTTTCAACAGACATAGAAAATAATTTCATAACCAATCGAAAAGATGCATTTTGTATAACATTGTACTCACTCACAAGAAGGAAACTTTTTTCTGGTTTGTATAATATTAATACTAGCGAGTCGCTTCGGCTCCGCGCGGGTGCAACGCTGATACTGAATATAAATTCACTCACCGAAAATTCAAGGGCATGGAGAAATAGTAATGAAAATTTATTTTGTTTTATGGACACACCTTTTTTTTCTCGCGGCTGGCGGCTCAGTTGGAATATTTGAAAATTCTTTCCTATTGCATATTTACAATATAAAACGAACCTACATACAAAATTTCAGCCTCCTAAAATATCTATAGGTACCGGTATGGAGGAACTGTGATGAATAGGTAACTTTATACAATAAACGTTCCTTTATCCACGCGGCTGGCGCCTCAATTGGAATATTTGAAAAAAAAATTATTGCAAATCTAGCACATTAAACGAAACTCCATATAAAAAATTTCAGCCTCCGAAAATATAGTGGTACTAAGAAACAGTGATGAAAATGTAATTTTCATATATAAAAGCTCCCCTTTCATCCCCAGTGGGGCAACTTTTTTGAAAATCCTTTTTTATTGCACATCTACAATATGAAACGAACCTACATACAAAATTTTAGCCTGCGAAAATAAAGCGGTACGGGAAAACAGTTATTTTATGAACGTGCTTTTTCCCCGCGGCCGGCGCCCCAGTTAGAATATTTAAAAATCCATGCCTATTTTGAAATCTGTTTTTCCGTTAATCAGCTGTCGCCCCCATACGAACGACAACTCTCAGAAGTTGAGAAACTTGTGCGAGCCCACGATCTTCCGATCGTGAGTCGGGCGCACTACCACCGCGACCAATTCCACAACATGATGATTGCACACCTACAATATAAAACGAACCTAAATACAAATCTTCAGCCTCCGAAAATGAAGCGGTACGGAGAAACAGTAATGAAAAGGTAAATTTCATATGTAAACGCACCCCTTTTCCCCCCACAGGGGGGAGCCCCAGTCGGAATATTTGAAAATTCTTTCTTAGTGCGCAACTGATAAGCCAACTGATAAGATACCAAATTTTAGTTTCATAGAACTTACCAATACGGAGAAACACAGATGAAATGAGTGTTAAGTAATACACCTACAATATAAAACGAACCTAAATACAAATCTTCAGCCTTCGAAAATGAAGCGGTACGGAAAAACAGTAATGAAAAGGTAAATTTCATATGTAAACGCACCCCTTTTCCCCCCACAGGGATGAGCCCCAGTTGGAATATTTGAAAATTCTTTCTTAGTGCGCAACTGATAAGCTCCTATATACCAAATTTTAGTTTCATAGAACTTACCAATACGGAGAAACACAGATGAAATGAGTGTTAAGTGACTTTCGCATTTATAAGTACAGATTTTGTTTTTTTCCAATACATACACAATATTCCAAAATTAATAGAGATAGTACACTTAGAATACACAGCTTTCCCAACATATTTTCACACGAATCAAACCCTTCCACTCTCATTTTGTATTATAATTATAACCGATATAGTAATCTTAAAGGTGTCGGCGAAGTCAAAGGCTAAAAAAACCAATACAAAGGAATTATGCCGCAACGAATTAGTCCACGTGGACTGAAGAATTGGCGGTTCGTATTGGATAATTTTTAATGACCGAGTTTTATGATTGGCTGAATGAAATTAAATTTGAAGTCATGTTACGGTGACCAACAGAATGTAGCGATGAGTACCACGTTGTGTGTGTTATGAAAGGGGAACTGCTGGAAGGTAGGGGGCACTATATATTTTACTTGAACTATATCATATTTGATAGATTCGTTATTTTATAATACTAGCCTGAGAGTTCTGAACATCTCAAATCATTATGATTATTTTCTCTTTAGAATGCATTAACTTAGACACCATGAATAGAAATTGTTGATTAGATTTCATCAGAAAATTGGATAAATCTGTAATTTTTAACATCGATGTTCATCTAATGCAGACTTTTGGTATTCAAAAGTAACCGTGGAAATAATAATTCACGCATTCATTGCATAAATTCGGGAATATAATGCCATTGAATTCACATACTCACCCTTTGAATTGATGAAATATCGTTTCAAGACATTTCCCCATTCATGCTTCTCAACTTCTCCAGTGATAAACGGTTGGAAAAAATGATTTGCTTTCTCTAAAGGCCAAGCAGATTCCGCTGTTTGGCCTCCCCCGTACCAATGACTGTTACTCATGTCGAAGCAATCCGTCAGAGGTATGTTTTCATTCAAAGAAATCCATCGAAGATTGTAGCACTTCAAATCGTCTCCAAAGTTGTGGAAATTCAAATACAACCTGGCCCTGAAATGAATATGAATTACTCAAATTCTATTTGATGGTGAAGAGATATTAATGAAAGCATAATGTGAATCAGAATTAAGTTGATAATGATAATAATTGAAAATTCATTTAAATGGTAACCATATAAGGAGACGACAACTCATGTTTACATTTCCGTTGTTTCTATCTTGTTTTGAGTCAATATTTATTAATGAAAAGAAACAAGAAAAAATGAATACAAAGTACTATTTTACTTTCTGATGTTTGATTTTGTGCTCGCAAAAACCTGCGTTCATCACAAATCTTTCGTACGCTATTGTTTCCATAAACTGTCTAGTCTAATCTAGTTTTTCATGTTCGTTTGACATAGTTCACGTTTTAATTAATTGTTCTCTGTTTTTCTATTCTTTTTCCTGACTGAGTCAGTGAAAGAAACAGATTCCACCCCACGGAGTCAGAAAATTAAAGAGGTTTTAGTTTTATCCGAATAAGTACTCTTCTTTTCCTTTGTAGTTGAGAGTATTCTTCGTGTATATTATATGTTGTTGGTCTTTCCAAAAATGCACCTTCAAAGGTATTTCAGTGGCATCCTGTAGAAGGTTTAAACGCTTTTAGTTGATTTTGAATCTCATCAGTTGATCACTCATAGAATGTTAGATTCCAATGGTCGGACGGTAGCCAGGCTGTTCGACGTGGGTGCTTTGTTCACTCACACAAATTGACAGCCGTGTTGGTCTGTGTTTCAAGCCCTAGTCTGAACGATCGATTTTCACTTGATATCGTCCAATCCGTGTTAGGAATCACACGTTACAAGGTAAGGCCTCGTTAATCCTTAGCTTGCACAAGTTTCGACTTCTGAGGGTTGCCGTTCGTAGGGGTGTGACAGCTGGTTAACGGAAAAACAGATTTTAAACAGATTTAAACAGAATGTTACGAATGTCAACCATATACTAATTGATTTTGATAATATTATACTTCTAGTATAATATTATCAAAGTGATAATATTATCAAGTGACTAACTTTGTTATTCACTTGATCGAGCTCTTTTGAATAACTCCTTGCGATTGTTCAGAAGAATTTTGTTAAAGTGTTCATATTCTGGATTTCACCACAGTATTGCTCATCTTGGAAGGAAGTGATCATATTAAGGCATGTGGTTGGCATCAACAAACATTTTATTGATTTTATGTTGTTAGATCACGTCTATCAAAACCAGACGATCTTGGGCTTTTTTCGTCATTTGTATTGATGGCCGAATAATAACCTTGCCATGATTTACTATATCAGTTAGTTAAACCACACCCTATAGCCTTCCTTGGAGCTTATCGGTAATATTTTTCTTTCGAATCTTATTTTCATTAATTTCACCCATTTCAAATTGTAACTTGTATCTGGCAACAACTGGTCTTCCAAACCAGTATTATTCGTGTAACCAAGTTGTCCGTTGTGTTGAAACCTTCATTTTTTAAAGATGAAGAGACAAATGGACTTGTTGAATTCCATTTGTAATTCACAGACATATATTTGCCTCTCAAATATTCCATCGAGCGAAGGTTGAGGAGAATATTTCTTATTTGCAGCAGTGTGAAGATGAGCACCAATTGATCATCTTGAAGATGATTACTTGGTGATTGAAACACGTGTCGAGGTGTTGAAAATAACGGTTTGGTGTTGGGATAAAATTCCAGTAATATTCATAGAAACATGAATCAACCAACTTGGAACGAAAAGTATATTTGTTGTTCTGCGCAAAATGTCCGAGCAAAACAAATTATTGATGAATTATACTACGTTACTTTCATATAATTCACCTAATGAATCTAGGATGTAATGAAATTTATATTTTGGCCCATATTCACTTTGGAACAGGATGACAAAGTCATTATATCGAACTAGTGCACAATGACAATTCAAACAGTAATTGAAATAATTGGTGAATTTTTCAAACTATGGTGAATAGATTCTACAACTGAATTGATATTTTGTGTACTTTCTAATTATCCATGGTTTTTGAGAATTATTTGGAGATACCTAGTGATTTGTTTTTCTTGGAATAATTGAATAAAATATTTTCATGCCTCTAAATATTTTTACTTATCCAAAAATAATTCATTTGCAAAACTACCGAACATAATATAAATGCCATTATGGTTGAACTGGCCAGGATTCTTCATATCATATATTGTGATAATTCAATGAAATAAGGATGAAAAATTCGTTCTGAAAACATATATTGACCTTCTGAATCCGCATTGAAAAAATCTTGTTGGGGGCCGCTCAAGGGCAAATAAATTCTTTGATAGGACCAAACAACTATAATTCGCTTTCTTAATGAAAAAGCAGTAGCATTTTCTGAAATTAACAAAAATTGCTGAAGCATAGATAAAACTGGAGTACTAAACAGTTTCGCTGTTTCCATCAATATCTATTGAATTACACCTAAAATTTCGATTTGTTAATAAATAATAGTATCATCCATGATAATAATTATACAATTTCTACAATAAATTTCATTTAAAACGCGTTTCACTATATTGTAGCTTCATTAGTTGAAGTGGTATATCAAACTATTCTGTTACATAACAGTAGGTAATTACAAAATTGAATTAGAATAATGATTGATTCTAGTGAAACAGGTATATTTTTAAAAAACAATAACAATACAATGTTGCTTCTAGGAAATGTGTTGATAATTATTGGCATTTTACGACAAAAATCAATTGAATAAATGATTAATTCTGCCAAAACAGGCAGATTTCGAAAAAACCATCACAATACAATATTACTTCTAGAAAAACAGGTAATTAAAAAATGGGTAAATCATAACCATTTCACGAAAACAAGTTCAATAATGCTGAGTGAAATACTTCATGTTGGTTATTCAAATGATCATTCCAACTATTTAAACTCATCATTATTGAACTTGTTTCAGTATATCTAAATTAACCTTTTTTCTAGAATATAGAATTGAATAGAAGTAATAGTGAATCTAACCATTCATTTTCAAAAACTACACCTCCCGATTTGATCTCCACAAACTTCATTTGAAAAAATATAATCACAACAGTAGCTTTATCAAGTGTATGAATACTTCAAATTATTCTTACATTAATATTTATATACTACAGTAAACCATAATTGAGACTACCTCCAAAAAATTACCTCCCATCTACATCAATAATAATTCTTTCTCGGCTTTTAAGAAAACAAATTCAATAATCCAATCTATTCAAATCCAGTTCGTCATTCATTAGAATGTTTGCATTTTTAAGTTTATTAATTTCCATTGCTTCCAAATGATTCAGTTTCAAACCTTTATTTTCTATGTGCAAAATTTCGAACTCTTCGTTGAAGATATGATATTTTTCTAGAAGATGATTTGCATATGTTGAATTTGTTTTCTTATTTACATAGCTCGTACGATATTCCTAGATTCAATTCCAAAATAATCTGCCCGTTTGACCAATATATACCTTAGGGCACGTCCCACACTTTAATTTATATACTCCTGATTTCTTTAATTTGGATGACTTGTCTTTATTATTTTTAACTAAGTTTCCCAACGTATTACTTGTTCTATATGCAACTTTAATATCTCGTTTCCTCAAAAACGAAGCCACATTTTCCGTTGGTTGTCCAAAGTACGTTAAAGCTCTATAATTTTGAATATCTACCTTATCAATAGGAAAAACGTCTCGAATCGCTTTTGCGTAGACTTTCTTGGCAAGTATTTTGTTTATTAATTCGTCTTTAAACCCATTGTTAACCGCAATTTGCTTGATGATATTAAGTTCTTTATTGAAATTGTCTATTGAAAGAGGAACATTGACTAATCTGTGAATCATGCTATTATGTGTTGATAAGGATGGGTAGAATCGTAATGTATAGTATAGGACAGATTGTGATAGATTGAAAAATATTGTTTGTTGTTCCTTCTACTAATTGTTAAGTCCAAGAAATTAAGTGAGTTGTCTGCTTCTATTTCAATAGTGAATTTAATGTTTCCATGAATTTTGTTAATACCCCTCTTAGTACCTGTAAAACATACCAAAACATCATCCACATATCTATGTCAATACAAGAAATTCTTAATCAAAGGATGTTTGAAGATCGACTTCTCTAGATTATCCACGAACATTTTTGCAAGTAAGGGGCTTAATGGATTTGAATAGATCACCATTATTGAACTTGTTTTCTTAAAACCTGAGAAAGAATTATTATTGATGTAGATGTGAGGTAATATGCTTTAGGTAATCATAATTCAACAGGTACCTTAGGTAGAGGTTCAGGTAATTTTTTGGAGGTAGTTTCAATTATGATTACCTGTAGTATATAAATATTATTATAAGAATAATTTGAAGTATTCATACACTTGAGAAAGCAACTGTGCTAGCGAAACATGTGATTATATTTTTTCAAATGAAGTTTGTGGAGATCAAATCGGGAGGTGTAGTTTTTGAAATTACTATGGATTTTCATCAAGTAACGGCCGAATCAATCAGAAAACTAATCATTTATCTTTGTTTATAAATTACTTATTTTCCTATTATATTGTATTTTTCTCAAAATCTACCTGTTTTACAGAATTATTAGGTGAGTTTTGTAATTACCTATTGGAATATAAACGACATTGTAGATTATATAAGAAAATTAATATTTCGAAATGAAATCTCTAAACATTCATTTCTCCCAACGTACCTACACAGTAACTCCTAGTAAATGTCTACCGAAAAACATCTACTTCCTCAGCTAACACAAAGCAGGACATTGAATTATATCCTACAGATATTTATCTCAGTGAATACTCATTCGATTTGATCGATATAAGCGCCATTTGAATCAGTACACTTTTGCCAACGTAACATTCCGTCAGCCTAAAAAGGATTGCTCGGGATCCGATGAAGTCGCCTAAGACCGTTTTTGCCTGGTCCTGATTGACGAAGGTTCTATCGGTGGAAAAGTTATCGAAGTGCTTGAAAAGATATTAGTCGATTGGCGAGAGATCTGGGTAGTATAGTGAGTGAGGCAGAATTTCAACCCCCAATTTGATTTTTTGATTTTCGGACGGTGATTAGTGAAACGTGCGGAGGGGCGTTGTTGTGAAGCAGGATAAAACCTCTTCTGTTGACTAGTGTCAGCTGATGTTGACGCAATTCTCGGTACGTTATATCGATTCCCTCACAATAGGAGTCTGTTTTGGCTTGACCTGGATGAAGAAACTTTTAGTGAATCACAGCAGCCCTTTACCACCATACAGTAACAATGTTTTTTATGGATTTTTGCCTCTGGGGAGTGGCTCATCGATGTTCGACCACTGTCCTGAACATCTCCTGCTGTCGTAGAGCATACACTTTTCATCACACTCGACAATCCGATTCAAAAAATTATCGATGCGCAAAAGCAAAAAAGAGGGGATTTCGAAACGTAATATTTTTTTTCGATCGTTTAAATCGTGAGACGTCAACTTTTCGAGCTTCTTGACCTTTCCAATGCATTTGAAACCATCAAAAACCCCATGGGAGCTGTCGCTCAGTTCTTTCGCCATCCCACACACCGTTTATGATGGGTCAGTCCCGTACCAGAAAAAGTAGATCTGCAAGCTTATGCAGATGACCTTGTCATCTTGGCAAGGTCCACGTTGGAATGGGTAGCTTGCAATATCTTCCAAAGCACGTTGACCGTCGTTGTTCATAGTTGGTGCCTGAGAGAGCTGATGTCTGTCAACCCCAGCAAAACTGTGATAATCCCCTTCACCAGGAGGAGAAAATTGGACGATCTAATGCCATTTTTCCTTAATGGTGAGGCATTCCATTTGGAACGGAGGTGAAATATCTTGGCATTGTCCTTGATAAAAAACCTCACCTGGAACGCTCACTTGAAACAAGTTTTACACAAAGCCAGACTGTCCCTATGGATATGTCGAAGGATTTATGGTAAAACTAAGGGGTTTAGGTTCCAAACAAATACATTGAATCCATGTGATGATGGTCAGACCAATGCTCACTTATGGTGCAATTGCCTGGTGGCAGAAGGCTTTACAGAGGACGGCCCAGGCGAAGCTCTCTGGCTTACTGACAACCAACTGACTACCTCCTCTACGCATTTTTCTGGAGAGAGAGGCTAGATGGACTGCATATAGACTTGTGCATATTGCCAATTGCACAAATCAATTAAATGCATCCGTGTGCAACAGACAGTGCAACAGACTCACTGGAAGTCACAGCATTCCAGAACTATGACTTTATGCCTCCAAATGTCAATTACGAAGAAAATATTAAGAGGTGATAGTTTTTGGTTCGCAGAAGGATCAAAAACACCTTCGGATAGATTGGAAGAATCCAACCTCATTTGCAAGTCAATAAAAATATTCTCAGACAGTCAAACGGTATTGAAAGCTCTTGACTCCTACCGAGCAACGTCTAAATTGGTAGGTAGCAAATTGCCAAAAACGATTCTCCTCGACAGGAATACTTGACAAATTGTCTCTGATTTGGATTCCTGGCCATAATGGCCTAGAAAGCAATGAGGGTGCTGACTTCCTTACAGAGGAGGGTACTGCAATCAGCTTCATCGGACCAGAACCTGGATCATCATATGCAGAGACTAGGACTGTCGTAAGACAGTGTGTGTCGCCTCTGTTTTGAAAATGATGAAACAGCAGAGCACATACTTTGTGTTTGCCCCGCTGGGGACCAAATCAGGTTTTTTGAGTTCGGCAGAGCCGTACTCGTACCATCTGACCTGATAGACCACTTACTATACAAACTAATCGGCTTCGTTAAGAAGCTGAGTTTATTTGGTCGAGTGTAAATAAAGCCGCAATAAACCCTTGTGGATTGCGGCGGAGTTTCGAACAGACCCACTCACTTTGGACCTAACCTAACCCCTATCAGGGTCCTCAAATCCTAATCCTGGTCGACTACTTCGAGCCTCATCTTCGGAGCTGAAATCTCCGGATCGAAACTAGGCAATCGAACGTTGAACAGTGTGTTTGTTCATTAACACTATCACTAGCGAATGTTTCAGTTCAATTTGAATTCATAGAGTGAAATTGGTCAAAAAGCATAAAGTAATAAGCTGAAAAGAGGCAAAATATTTAAATTTTTAGAAAAAATAACAGCATCAATGTATAGAGTACAACATTTTCTATCGATCAGTATATACCACGACACACTGGAATAAATATTTATTGAGATATGGTATTTTATTTTGAAATATTTATTTTCTTATACATATGTATCTCTACAATATAAACCTTCGAACGTTAATTGTAGAATAGTTTGATGTACCAATCCATGTAACAAAACGCGTTTCAAATAAAATTTATTGTGATTATTTTAATTAGCATCGTGGATAATGTTGATGATTTTCATTTAGTAACGGGTCAGTGTATTAATGATATAATAGTACTTCTGAATATGGAACTCTCCATTTTTATTTTACTGGCTTATTTCTTTTAGTTCATAACAAACTAGCACTAGCTTCCACCATATACTTGTCAACGTTGAGAAATAGAAGATACTAGATGAGTGTATACAGGGTGTTTGTTCAAACATGTGGCAAAAAATTAAAGAACTGTTCCTTGGACTATTCCAAGTATATTTTGTCCTTTGATGAATTTTGAGAGGGCGTTTTGTTTCGAAGATACGGAGCGAAAAAGAATTTTGTCCCATGTTTAATAACCACCCTGTATGTCCCTATGAATAAATTCGTAGAAATGTTTCTAGCAGCACTTCCTCACCTGTGCATCCATTCCAAACACAGACTCCCATCATCTTTATTATCGATTGGAAGGCAGGGTAGAACGGTATCATAATCCAAATTAATTCCTAACGAGGCATGAACAATTTCTACACCTTCATTGTTATGTATTTTCATTAACCTCTTCACTTTGTTGAACTTGATCCTTTCGAAGTAAGCTTTTGCCAACACTTTTTGATTATACAGAAAATACGCTGTTACTATTAAAATTACGATTGTGATAAACAGAAGAGTTACGAAGATTTTGGTTTTGTATTCAGGACTTTTCTTCTTACGAATAGTTTGCGGTAAATTCTGAAAAATAAAATTAAATATGAATTGAATAATGATGATGACGAATGTTGAATAAAATATAAAAGGGATTATCATAAGCGGAACCACTATTCCCACTCACCAAACCGGTAAAAAATGATTGTTATTTTGAAGACAATATTATATTTTACCATTCCTCTCCTCAACACTTTTGGCTGTTTCTGGAAATTTCATTACAATCGGAAATTTAGTAACACTCCAAATTTTCCAACACAACGACTAATATCGACTTTCTCCATACTGAAGAGACTAAGAAAGTATTCAATCTCAAGCGAGTTACATTCTTTTAAATACAAGATACAAGAATCGCCAGAACTACTTCAACATAACTAATATTTTAATAATAATGTTGAATGGTTTTGAGAATATACGTGTACTTGTTGATTTACAAGAGGTTTTTTTCAAATTAGCTAGATGATTTTCAATAATTTCAGATCACTGGCATTAAGCATACATTTTTTGTCCGCCATTGACTATAATGTCATTCACCGATAGCAGTAATCTGGCGGTATGACTTCAAAATTATAGTGTACGTTCTCAAATCATGTATCGAGAATAGATTTTCTGCTATCTCAAGTACGCATACATTCTCAAATACATATACATACTGCATTATTTAGCTCTATTATTTGCTTGGGTAATCCTTTTTTGATGAAAATTACATTTTGCATGGTTAATCAGTTTTTTATAAATGTTTTTGTATTTTTTAACATAGTTATAAAATGCTGTGTCATTTGTGAATTTTTCAATGTAGTTACTTATGCATCAGTATATGCAAAATATACTTATGCATCAGTATATTTTGTGCAAATGATGTTAATTAGTCAAAAATTTGAATTTGATTGGGAACACTGGTTATAGGACAGTGAGTAAATGCGGTTAATTTGGAATACTGTTAGTAATTTGGAATACTGAAATACCCAAGTTCCTAGTAGCGAGTAGAAGTGTTGTTTGTGAAGTTTTTCAAGTAAGTGAGAAATCCATATGCATTTCGACTTCTAAGCATATTCATATATTTTTGCAACAAATTGTAGATATAACTATATTACAGCATTTTAAGTTTAAGGAGGGTTTGTTGCAAATTTGGTATAGTGGTAGAAGCAACTTGGAATAATTCGAATTATATACACAATTAGTGTGGAAAACGTTTTATTTTGGTCTAAGAAGAACCCCTGAACAAATTCAGCCAGGGGTTACTCTATTGTGATCTCACAACCATCATGAGCAATTCATTATTATGCTTTTTTGTCCCCTAAATAATCCTTCACACTATAAAATGATTTTTCACTAAATTTTTTTATCAATCAGTTTGAATTTATTTTGTGATAACTCTGGGTAGTTTATTATGAAAGTGTTTCTATACAATACAATAATCGGTGCCTTTCAGTGAATCTATGAATAAACCAAAGTTTATCCCATAGTTTCACTAACCCTGTAATATGTAGTTTTCACTTTCATTTCTCTCAACCCTTGGTGAGTATGATTTTTTTACAAACTTGTATTCCAAATGACCTGCATTTACTTATGTAATAACACAAACAATGACATCTGGAAAGTAATCCGATATGATCGATATCGACACATGGCTTTATGGTAGATTGCTATAGCAGATCCAAGTTTACCAACCATAAAAGGTTTTAACATTTCTTATCAAGCCATTGATGACGTTCACGTAAGGAAGAAATAATTCGCTTTCTGAATCTCTAACATAAGTTGATTATTCATAAGTAAATCTTTGCTCAAAGCACAGCACTGACTGCTTGTCGTTCAGTCATAAGAGACCATTTTATCTCATAATCTTCAGTATGGTACTGAGTGAATATAAGATATTCCTTTTGCCTCCAGCCTGAAAACCTTCAGCACCACCTAGTCAGTCGTAGTCTTCTCTTCTCAATGATTGGTATCCAAACAGCATATACTCAGACATTGCTTCTGGGTTCTTCCTTCTAATCAATAATTCATTCGAGAACTGAAAATGTTTGAGAAAAATAATGTTAGCCATCCAAGACGCCATTGCTGAAATTCACTCTTCTGAAGGAAGAGGAAGTCTTCATCATCTAAGTAATCATATCTACCATGGAGAAATATATATAGAAACTCAGTTGGAAAATAATGCAACAATTGTTGCTAAGAAGCTGGATTCAATATAATAGTTGCGCTCCCCTACGAACGACAACTCTCAAAAGTCGAAACTAACGAGTTCTTACCTTTTAACGTGTGTTATGTCTCTTTTGTAATGTACATTGACTGTCACAAACAGAAAAGAAGTAGTTGCTATTTGAAATTGTGCTGTTGATGAGAGGTAATACGATTATTTTCATTTTCAATTGTAAGTCTCTTCATGAAAAAAATAGATATTGGGTGCAATTCAAATATGTTCGATTATTATACCCACGTAAGTTTCTTTTGAATTGAATAATCATTTTCCTAAGTAGACTTTGACATTGATATTATTAGAAAATATTTTACTCTAGTTGAATTAAGATGGGTTGTTCTGCTGGTATTCATCACTCTGAACTTGTTATTAATTACCTCAAAAATTCAAGGCAAACGATCACTAAAACTTGGTTGAGTCAAAATTTATTCTCAATTCAATAGATACAATCCAAACAGCTTCTAAGATGACGATGAAAATGTAATGTCATTTATTTTAGATTACTTTGACACAGTCATTTATTACTGTCACCACTCACCATTCATACAACTCAACTCCTAATTCATGTAAACGTAAGATGAAATGAATCAATTCAGTAAGGCAAGATAGAGAAATCTAATTTAAAAACCATAAAGTGCATCTGTATTTGAATATGCTTCAAAATCAGATCCATCACATTATTCAACAATTATTTGGGGCAAACTCAAATGAATTTTCCATGGATGTTACCCTCCAACAAGATGGTGCACCCCCTCACTACTACAGACATGTGCGAGAATGGCTTAACGAGAATATTCTGGGACGGTGGATAGGCCGACGTGGCCCCAATGAATGGCCAGCTAAGCCACCTGATATGACAGCTATGGATTTTTTTCTACGGTGTACGTCACGCAGCCACAGTCACAGATGTGTGTTACATTATTACACCGGAAACATTTAATAACGTTCGGAATGAATTCCAAAACCGACTTTTTTCTGTCAAGAAGTGAACGGTAGACATTTCGAGCAATTGTTGAATTAGTTAAAATTGTAACTTAAAATTTGTATTGTAATTAAAAATTATTTAGGTTTTAATTTATTTGTGATGTATTTGAAGCAAATTTCAAACGCTGTCAGGCCTTCAAAATCAGGAGACACATGACCCCCCTTTACAATAAAAAAAGTTGATGGTGCCCTCTTGACACTAGGCCACGTGACCACATTCATTTTCATGCCAAAAAGTAGTAAAAGTAGTACCATTTTACCAGAATTTTACCCAACCTCGATAGCTTGTTCCGTTCAAAAGTTAAGGGGGGGAAGATTTTTTACGTCCTCACTGGTACGTATTATCATAACAGAAAAGTCACGAGAAGACTAATAAATACGTCTATCAACATTTGAAGATGATAATATAAAGTTTATGCCCGCTTGGATTAATATTTGACAACTGATAGTTCTCCGTATATAACCATCATTAAACATTCATTAGTTCATATGATATCAATAGAAATAATGATTCTATACGAGTGCAGTTTTTCTACCTACTTAACCTACAATAATAACAAAAAAACAAGTTTGTTGTTTTGAATATCATCTTACACGCCTATTTAGTTTCAATTAGAGTGACTCTAATTCAAATGTAATGAGATTTTTCATTGAATAGTGACTTTATGTATGGTATACGGAAATACAAAATAATTGTGGTAGTCATGATCATTTATTCCCTTTCTAAATTAAGATTGTATAGTGTCTCTCATTAGGCATTTTCTATCTTCAAATTTAAATGAAATAAAGTGTGTCTATGTGATATCATCAACTTTTTTTATTAGTTTGAAAGACATGTTGATGTCATTATGTATGGAATATAACATCGTTCAAATGTCCGCCACGGTTTCTCTGGGTGGAGCACATTCGAAATGTCCAATTTTCCGTGACTCTGGTGCATAAATCAGGCTGAATTTGACCGATGACATTGGTTATGTTGGCTTTGAGGACTGCTGTAGTTTGTGACTCATTCGCATGAACCTGTCACTCAAGAAAACCCCAAAAGAAAAAGTCTAACGGGGTCGAATCGCACGATTCTGGTGGCCAGGTCACGTCACCTCCACGTGAGATGACCTTGCCCTCAAATTGCTCGTGCAGAATATCTAATGTGAAATGAGCTGTGTGGCACATACCGCCGTCCTGTTGAAACCACATGTCGTTTGTGTCCAGATCGTCCAAAAGTTCCAACCAATGACCAGATGACCAGATGACCAAAAGAAGTTGGTCATCATGAACTCGCCGTTTACAGTGATGGCCTGGCCAACGTCGTTCTCAAAGAAATATGGATCGATGGCGTCGTAAGCCCAAAATCCACACCAAATAGTGACTCATTCGGGATGCATTAGACGCTTTTGGATCTCATGTGGATTGATATCGTCCCAAAATCTACAATTTCCTTTGTTCACGTACCCAAATGGGTCTCATGGCTGGAAATGATTTTTCGATGAAAATTAGGGTCAGTTGTCAACTGCTCCAAAGCCCATTAAGCGAACATACGTCGTTGCCTATGGCCGTTTACCTCCAGTTCCTGACTCAATTGATTTTTTTACAGATGCAGGCCCAAGTCATGACGCAAAATGCGCCAAGTTTTTGTCTGCGAACGGCCAATTTTTTGTGAGCGACGCGAATTCGAACGCCTCGAACTCTCCTGCACACTCTCACAGATAGCGATGATTTTTTCGACAGATCTTGCGTTTCGTCAACTTACGGGTGTTGGTCGATCGTTTATTGAAACAGTGGACTCAAGTTTAGCCACCACATTCCGATTAGTCCTCGCGGTAGGACGATTTTGACAACCATAAAATGTGCGAAGCGCGCGGAACATTACCCGAACAGAACACCCATTTTGATGAAAAAAATTCATTTTTTGCACGTGTTGTTGAATGCTATATCCGTCCATGGTGATTTAGCAAAATCGACTGTCCTGTTAGAAGACTCTATAAGTATTACGTGGCTTTCGACCTAATATTCTATACAGTTTTCGTGGTGAATTGATTCACTTAAGTCAATCCTAATGTTATATAAGATTTGCTAGAATCGATCCTAGCTGGATAACTGAGATCTTAAAAAAAACAAATTGTAAACCAAATTGACAAACTTTTTTTTTGAAATAATAATTCGTGCATTTCTTTCTTATCATTTCAAGAAGTTTCAGTTTGAATGAAAATTATTTTAAAATATTCTCAACAATCTTCCAGTAAGTGAGTGAGTGAGTCAGTGTAACTAGTTAGATACTTAAGACAATAATTCGAAGTGGTGAAAATAACATACCTGAATTTTTTCTTTCAATAAACTCGCTATAGAATTCACCGATGTGACTGAATTGGCTGGGGAGTTTTCTATGTCATCACCAGGTGGTTTTAGCATTCTCGGGCTGAGTACTGATTTTCTCCGAGCATTACGAGAATATCCACTGCAAAAGAAATTTTGTTGAACGTAATATATTCATTGCTCGTTTTCGCATATTTCAGAAAACATAGGGCGTCAATTTAAAGATTTCCTTTCAGAAAATAATGTGCAAAAGCATGCAAATAATTTTTTTTTAGTAATTAGTATTTCACAATAATCACCTTCAAAAAATCACAAAAAAGGAGACTGCTGGAGTACTTTTAGTAGAAATTGTGATATAGTTGGCATCGTTGCAACTTCCGATAACTTGTTTATCTACTTGTATTATTATTAATAGTGTTGGTAGTGGTTTGCGTTATATAATAGTTGTTCAAAATTTAATGCTGGAAAATATATACAAAATCTAGGTTTTGTTCCCCGCCTATCAACTAAAATAATTGAAAAAAATATTCCGAATCGCTTGGCTCAGTAACTTCAGCGAATGAACTATCTTGTGAAATGTCAGTGGGAAACTTAATAGCAATTCATAAGATGCGTCATGAGAAATTTGGAATACGATTTATGCCCAAAAGTGATACAGTTTTAACACAACTCCATAAAATGTAAAAAGTTCGTTTGATTTTTTGTTGGTCTTTTTTTTTCAACTCCATTAATCAAAAATAAAACATCATCTCATGAACCATTAAAAATTTTGTCCAATGTGCTCTAAATAGTGATTAATTCTGATTTCAAACTCTCTTCCGAGATTTCTGAAAACTTTATCTGTATCTGTCCGACATATTACTGTAATTCGATGAATTGATGGATGAAGTCGTTACTACGTGGTACGAGATCATAATGAAGAAAAGAGAATTGAAACTTTCTATGTTTTCTACCACTTTTATTTGTAACTAACGTTACTACAGTTTCGTCCCTAAGTACATTTTCAAACTTATATATTGAACTAATAATTAGCCCTTATATAGATATATAGATTCGGGGACTTGTGGTTGCATGCCAAGGAATGGTTTGAAAACGTCGAAAATTTTTTTCTCAGTCTGAAGGACCTTTCATGTTCAGCATACCGTTTTTGGAAATTTCGACCACATTGTCCCACATAAACACTACTACACTCTGGATACTTGAGTTTATCAACTCCAGATTTCTCCAACTTGTCCACCTTATCTTTGGTATTGAAAAATAAATCAGATAATCCGGCATGTGGTCTGAATACCACTTCTACATCTTTTTTTTTTCTGAAAAAACCCGAAATTATCTCTGTTCTTTTTCTAAAATATGTTAAAAGTTACCCATTTCTTGATTTCTGGTTGTTTGACCTGAGGGTATACTAATCTGTAAGTGAATTCTGATTAACTTCTGGATAGTATCTGCGTTGAAACCATTATTATGATCTATCTGTGGGATTATATCGATTTCCCTAGCTAGATTTTTAGCAGACAAAGGCAGTGAGAATACTCTGTACAACATTGAATTGTAGGCTGCTAATTTATAACTGTCTGGATGGAAAGAATCGCTTGGGATGGTAATATCTGTATAGCTAGGTTTTCTGAAAACATTGAACTGAAATTTATTCTGATTGTGTGTTATGGTCAGACCTGAGAAATTTATTTGTTTCTCCATCTCTGTTTCGAGTGTAAACTGAATGTTGTTATTGAGATTATTCATGAATGTCATAAATTTGTTCAGCTGGCATGTGGTACTTCTGAAACAGGCAAGAATATCGTCTACATATCTGTACAAACTCAATTATTTACAATCCTTGGAAATTCACAAGCATAAACATTGCGGGTACAACCTGTTAAATGATCAAATCGATTTAGTTTACTCACCGGTTTTCAAATTAGCATATCCGCATTGTAACTAGTGAACAAAATTCAGGTACTCAATCAAGCCAAGTTCCTCTATTATCACCTACAGGGGTTCTATATAAGGGCTAATATAATAATCAACCATTGTTAGTTTAATGTAAGTAAGTTTTAAAATGTCCTTATAGGACGAAACTGCAGTAACGTTAGTTACAAGTAGAAGCGGTAAAAAATATAGAAAGTTTAAATTCTCTTCTCTTCATACTGTAATTCGCCTTTCAATATCATCAATATCACCAGGTTATGATCTATAGACTATGTATTTGGAATTTCTCGAGGAAAGAAGTTCAAGAGAGTTGAATATCTTGGAAGCCATTCGATCGCTTCTCTTCTGCCAATCTGGGTATGAATTTCTTATTCAAGTTCTGTAGGGTAGGAAATAATGATCAGATGGAGCCCCATCCTACAAAAAATCATCAAAGAGATTTTTCTGTTAACCAACTGCATCGATTTGAGTTTCTAGCCCAACATTTATTATATGATCTATAGTTTCAACGAGCATGTTGAAAGACAGACTGTCTTTGAAGTTTTTTCAAAGAATGAAAAAATACTAAGGGCTATTCCAAAGATACCAACCCAGACATTAACTTTTTGTTATCATTATGTATGACTTCTTTAAAAGTAGGCGGGTTTCAGTATCGCGTAACATTCTAGTCTATTTTGCTGAGCAGAGTGTTGTGATGACTGCTACCTAGGACCTTTCGAATTATTTTTTAGTATATTTTTCAATAAAACCGTTCAACATGAAATTTTTTTTACTTATTTTATATTTTACTTTGGATTCAACACACCAAAAAGTATATTATCTAAAGTGGCAGTTGCCCAAAATGTGTGACATATCAAAACATACTGAAACTATATGGATATTTTAGACACGACGACACAACATGCATGATGTGTTAACATAAAATAAAAGGTGTGTGGGTAAGTATTTCAATTACGATCTCAAATTTTTTCATTCACATTCGCACTAAACTACCATTTTCTAGTTATCTGTGGTGTGGCATGAAAGAACTGTTTATTCATTTTGTGTTCAAATACTGCAGTTCAAACGGTTCTTTATTGCGAGTTCACGCATCCGTACTGAAATCTTTCAATTGTGTGGTTAGGAAACATAATGAACGTATCATTAAGAAACTACACTAGTTTATTACTTTCCGAAAATGATCTTGAATTGTTGAAAAACTTTTTTTTTATGTTGCGGCTGCCACTTAAAGCCAATTATCAAACATATTCGCACTTCAAAAACAGCATTTACAATATATACCTATTCAAGTAGAGAAGTGATTTTTTTTCAATATAATCCAAATTATTTGATGAACGAAATTCAAAATTACGACAAATCACTAACTTGCCTTCGGAAGTTTATATTACGCAGTACCTACCACCACAGTGTCGAATTTTGAAGTTTCCACTCTTTATTACCTACCCTTGGACAGTTTTGATACAATTTTTTTTTATTTTTGGAAAAAATTGATGGCCGTTATAAATTCGAGTCCATCGAATTAATTGGTTATGGATGGATTCTCCATCCATTTATATGTCTGGAAATATCAATCCATACATTTACCTGAATAATTATTAATTCACAAAATGAAAAAGTTTTTTTCAAAACCTGTCAGGGGATTACATTTAAAGTGAATCTGTCTTCTTTATTCGAAATTAGCCAGCTTTCATATCGGAATGTGGATATGTGATGACTAATACGTCCTTGAAAACAATTAGCCCTATTTTTTCATAATTCTAATCAATAGCTGACGATCATGAATTATTCTTACTGGATTTATATTTATCACGCATGGATAATGAAGTATAGTTATTTTCAATCGTTGTTCTTTCTGTAGTTTACGAAATAATCTAAAAATGATTCGAATATTTCCATACATACCTTTCGTCGAAGTTCCTCATTCTTATCAAAAAAAAAAATCAATTCTGAGAACCAGTTATTTGTTATGAATACGTCTATCAATAATTCTGAAGAATCTAATGAATGATGTTTATAATGATCCTTTTTTCGTTTCGTATAAATAAAATAATTACTAAGAAATAGTATTATATCATATTCTACGGAAAAAAAGGTTTTGGTTTCCTACTTCTTCATCTTCATACCCAAAAATGTGGGAATTTTCCAAAGGAAGGAAGAAAACAATCAATTTCAAAGTTAACTCTATACAAAAATGTGTACCTATAGCAAAGAAGTAACTGTTAGACACAAACTTTTATATGAACATAGAAGTATACAAAAAACACTTTTCCTATTCATTTCGTACTCCAAACATATTACTCACCAAAATTACGTTCAACAGTAAATACCTATCCAGACATAACTAATTGTTTTTTATAATAATAATATGCACATAACGTTCAGAACTTGTTATCTTGTTATTCGCGCACGATGCACGTTATCACTGAACTTTACCACGATTACTTACATAAACTAAGTAGTCTATTCGTCTACTGGAATAAATATGCCTTAATACAATAAGTGCGAAGAAAGTATTGCCTTAAGAGGATATGGTCATTGTCTCAATTTGTTAATCAATACAAAACCAAGATGGCAGGAATATACAGATATGTTTATGACATCTAGTTTTATGGTGACACACATTTCGTTTTATGTGTTTATGTGTGGCATAATAATAATAAAAAAATAATAATAATAACATTGGCTTATCAAAGCGTCTGACTTTCGCTTTCCTCAGGTCGAGTGGGCTGAAGTCTGAAACTGAGGGGTTCATCATGGCTTGTCACGATGGTGTCTTCAACACCTTACTCTATCGCAGTCGCGTGATGGGTGTAGATGTTCCTGAAACAAGGTGCAGGTCCTGCCGCGAGGCGACCGAGACCCTAATGAACTTACTATCAGCATGTCCAGCATATGCGGTCTCGGCCTACATCCTTCGACATAACGCGGCCCTAAGAATGCTATATTATCATCTACGGCACTCTTACGGTATCGACGAGACACCGGTGTTGCCCTACGCCCCGAGTAATATCGAATCCGTTGTGGGGAACGAAAGTGCCGAATTTATTGAAACTATTCGTTCCCCACCCTCAGTCTCATACAAGCTAAGAAGCCAGATGTAGTCCTTCTCGACCATCAGAGCAGGATGATATTTGTCGTGGAGTTTTCAGCTCCTGGCGAGACGAATATCGTCCTAAACGAGGGAGAAAAACGGACGAAATATCGAGGTTTTCTCTTTGAACTCCGCAGACTCTATCCAGACCACTCTGTCAAGATGGTTGTTCTAATTATTGAAGTCCTTGATGTCCTCTCTACTCTCGAATCTCAAAATCATACCGGCTTGCCGCACTAAGGTAGAAATATTAGCCGGACAGATGCAGAAGGCTGTCATTCTTGGCTCACTGCGCTTTCTCAGGGCACAGGATTCTCGGATTCAATGATCACTCACTCCACGGTGTGGGGAGTGGTCGTTGATTGATAATGCTGGCGCGCCCTCCTGAATGTATTGGGGCTTCGGGGGATAGGGCCTGACTAGCGCAAACTACGGTTTTAAAAAAATAATAATATTCATTCAACATTTTTGATACACTTGGGTATATAAGGTAAGTCAGTTGTACTACAAGCTAGTAAA